AATATCGGTCTTGGGGTGATCGGGAAAGCGAAGAGATAGGACTTACACACGGTGGTCCATTAGCTCCATTATGGCACCACAGATCGAGTCTTTGACATCTTTCACATCTAGGGCCTCTTCTATCATCAGGACTCCTCGACCAACTGTGACTTCTAACCCTATCTTCTTCGTCTCGCTCTAGTCTTCTTCCACGCGCCGCAGCTATCTGTCGACCTCTCTGTGTCCGGGCTGGATCTCGGTTTCTCTGTGGCCTCCCTGCGGCGCCCGGCCCTGTCGGTCTGGGTCTGGGTGCAACTCTTTGTACTCTGTTAGGTCGACTAGGTCGAGGAACGAGAGTGGCTTGATTGACGGACGAAGATGAAGCTGCAGCTGCTTGTCTGTTTGACGCGTTGTTGAAAGCTGTAGTTGCAGCATGTTGTTGCGCTGCATCAGCTGCTTGGCGCGGGCCATATATGTAACCCTTACCATTTACGCACTGGTCACCCACGCCTGCCGTTACGCACTTTGAACACGGGTATCCGTTTGTTTGCAGATCGCACACAGCTCCCTTTTTCATGTACTCACATCTCTTGCATCTGTTACTCGGCGGATTTGTTCGAATCCCTGGTGGAAACTGTCCACCCAGCGGTGTATAGCCCAAGTCTCTTATTGTTAAATTCGGATTTATAACAGAGGATGATGCAAGAGGGCCGCTGGAAAGCGCAGTTGCAGTAGCACTTCTACCCGGCCTTAAATCTAGCCTTGGTGCGCTGGGGCCTGCGGCAGCGCCCCTGGGAGGCTGTCTCCTGGGAGGTTCTTTCTTCGTTGGTCTGCTGTAAGGTTCTTTTCTAGCAGATGTAGTTTTTTTCGTTTTCCGAACTCCGTAAGTGCCATCGTCCGGATTATCTCCATCATCATCATCTTCTTCTTCATCGTCGTCATTATTGTTATCGCCACTGTTGTTCTTTTTATTGCCTCCGCCAGGAGGGCGGCCACCCCTGAACCCTTTCCCAACTCGCCCTTTCTCATTTACGCAATAGACGTTCATTTTCTCGCATTGAGAGCAAGGATACCAGCCCCTTATATTCAGATCACAATTTGACTTTTTCGTTTTGATGCAATTTTTGCACCTATCGCTCGGTGGATTCGTCTGCTCCCCTTCTGGAAAGTTGCCTGCGGTGGGTACAGGGTTCAGGCGCGGAATACCTGGCGGCAAGGAGAGAATCGTTGGAAGTTTGAATCTCCTCGTAAAGGGGGGATACCGCTCGTCACCACTATCTTCTGGGGCCTCTGGTGTAGCAACTCGTGGTCGCCCTTGTGCTACATCGTAAGCTCTTCGATTCGCGAGAGCAGCAGCACGTCGAGCATCGTTCCTCTGCCTTCTTTGTTGTTTCTCCTGCCGCCATTGGGCTGTATAGGCCGCATCATAGTTCTTATGGGTTGGATCCATTTTCTCTGCGTGGAGTTTTTCTGCTCTTTTGTGAGCATGATGGTCCTGGCTGCGTCTTCTGTGCCAATCGTCTTGCTCCTCGTCCCAAAATCTTTCAAGCCTTGGCCACTCTGGCTTTCTTTCGATTCCCATAGCCAAGGATGCTCTGTCGATTCTTTGCCATGCCCCCGTTTCCTCCTCATTGTCTCTTTCGGGACCATCATCGTAATAGGGATTATTGTCAGTTGAGCTTTTCTTCACACCAACTTGATCGGTAAAAACAAGCCCCTGGGTGTATTGTCCTGCTACTGGAAGCGATGAAGACAGTGTCGTAGCAGCAGCTTCTGCATCGACGTTGTCGTTTTCATCATCGTCTATCAAATCTCCATCCGAATCAGAGAGTTGTGGCTCCGCATCCATGTCAACATCCTCATCCTCGTCATATGGCTGAAGCTCTTTGGAGGGCATTTTGAGCTACTGCTAACTTCCTTTGGTAGTATTCCCCGACAATTTGGGGTATTTTCGATTGTTGTGGTGTGTGACAGAGGGCTGCTTGATCGTAATTGGAGCGCAAGGTGTTGATTTGCGCAAACCTGCGCCTATAAAGCATGGCTGCTTTGTTGTGCTCCATGGTTTCGGTCGAGGAATTCATTTCGTGAAAAAGATGCCGGATCCGGCGAAGTGTCTTTCAAGGAGGAATGGAAAATCTTGGTGCTTTGAACTCAAGTCTTTCGAAGCACTCTCGCAGGTTGTGGAAGTAAACCATTATTTGTTTTTATCTTTTGAAGCTCTTGCGTTTTGGTGGTCTAGCAATCATCGCTGAGGCCATCATCGCCATATTTCACTCTTTCGCGTGAAATTGTACTATCGCAACTAGATCAATCACACAGATCCCAAAGAAGATCATGGAACCCGTTTTGAATTTTGAATATAAATTTCTACTTGGCAACGGGATTGTAATTGTTGAAATTGTGATGGACGCATGTAACGTTGCTCAAAGCGGAAAACAAGCTTAGGAATGTAGACATTCCGGAGGGGATGTGAACGCGCTGAAAGACGAATAGGTACAACCAGAGTCTAACTTGAACTTCAGAGGGTGAAAGTTATGATTCTTTGAATATTGAGAAAGATGAGAAGGAAAGTTGTGTGGTAAGGAGAGGTCGATAGAGATGGGAAGTTCTCACGTGACCATTTAACTAGATATTCGCTCTTTGAGAGCTTTCACGGCCGTAAATGAACCGGCCACTGGTTATCTCATGCTCTGTTGAGCTTCTCATAGCTTGAAAACCCTTATGAAATGAGTTCGAATACTGGTTTCTCCAGACTTGTCATGTTTGTAGAGTTCTCCACGAGGTGAGTTTCAATAGATTTGTACCTCTGTCCAAGGAACGGACTATAAAAACTAAGTAATATTCAAAATTCTGGCCTCACAAGCGAAATATAATTAAAAGTGAAATCCAAGGCCTGTACCCCTATTCGACTAAAAAGGGGCTCGGAAGACAACCGAATGACGCGACTCCGCAGCCTCCGCTTATCGGTCAGCATGTGGGGTCGCCAGCTTTATCACCAACGCCCATCTCCGCAACCTTCAACAACAAATCCCACTCTCAAACCACGAAATTTTTCACGCATGCGCATCCCCCGAACCAGTACACAATTCCTCCGCACGCTTTCAAGCCTCAAATCCCCCATCTCGAACCTCAATTTCCCGCGACAAACGATTCGAACGATGGCTTCTGCAGCCGCCAAACGCCTTGAGGGTAAGACGATTCTTATCACTGGCGCTTCATCGGGAATTGGGAGGAGTACGGCGCTTGAGTTTGCGAAGACTTCGCCGAAGAATTTGAAGATTATATTGACGGCGAGGAGGATTGATACGTTGAAGGAGATTGCGGCGAGTATAAGTAAGGAAGTGGGGGAGGGGGTTAAAGTTCTGCCAGTGAAGCTGGATGTTAGCAACGCCGCAGAAGTGAGGGAATTCGTGAAAGGTCTACCAGAAGAATTTAAGGAGATCGATGTCTTGGTGAACAACGCGTGAGTTTATGGCTCTGCAGAGCGAGATTGGTGCTAATGTTCGGCAGAGGAATGGTCAAAGGTACCGCGAAAGCTCCCGAGATCTTGGAGGAGGACATTAACGTCATGATGTCGACAAACGTTACTGGATTGATCAATATTACACAAGCGGTTCTGCCGGCAATGATGAAGCGGCCTGATGGTGGAAAGGGAGATATTATCAATATTGGGAGCATTGCTGGACGGGAACCCTACGCTGGAGGCAGTATCTACTGTGCAACAAAGGCTGCTGTTAGAGCTTTCACGGACTCTTTGAGGAGAGACTTGATTGCCTCGAGAGTTAGGGTCATTGAAATTGACCCTGGTGCGGTCGAGACGGTAAGTTACCATGGACACGAAGGTGGGGTAATTACTGACTATACCAGGAATTCTCAATCGTTAGATTTGGTGGTGACAAGGCGAAGGCTGACGCTGTCTATGCTGGCTTTGAGCCTCTGACACCAGATGATATTGCCGAGCATGTCGTGTATTGCGCTAGTAGAAGGGAGAATGTCGTGATTGCGGACTCCTTGGTGTTCCCCAATCAACAGGCTGGATCAGCACCTGCTATTCACAAGAAGTAGGAATAAAGTTACGCAGCACTACTTTGTCAATAGATGAGAATAAAAGTGTAAATCATATGACGCGGAACACACAACGTGTATTGTTGCTTCCACGAACCCCTCTCTCTCTCTTGATATATATATTCATCGCGGTGGAGATTTATTCTGTCATGTCGGTATATGGGTCTTCGTACAACATATAGGTCAACAAGTTGCAATACACCGACGCATGTCCTTTCTTGAGAGTTGCTTTTCCTGAGGAAGTGTGGATATTGTTTGCGGACTGATTCCTGAAAACTGTCGCTGCCGCTTCTGCTCCTACAAGTGTCAAAACCAACTTGTCCATTTCCTTGAGATGTCTCGGGTGGTTCGGTATAATTTTCCCTTCTATTTCAAATACTTGTGGCGAAAAAGCAGACTAGGCAGGGGAACTCATCGTCAAATTTGGGTTCACGTGAAACGCCTGCATATTAATCTCTTTGACCAAATATCTGAAACTCAGAAGCACAAGGTACTGATCGGATGCACTTTACTTATGTTGTGCATCTGGATGAAGAATTCCCGTATGGAGCTATGGATAGAGAGAGAGATGTATATCCACGTGACCCAGACATACCACCTCATCCAAAGGGAGAGATCGGGAATCAGTGCCTTCCGGCAATACCTCGTAGGTTCTTATAAAGAGCATGACGAGCAGTCGCTCTTCAAGCTATGGAACGGGCTTTGCAATAATGATAACTTTCTCAAAAGGTATGCTCGCTAAGACTATCAAACCATACAAACTTTACCACCACTCTGGAAGCAACATAATAATCATCAGTACCCGCTACTTTGTTGTCATTTTCGTTCTGGTCACTTTTTAGGGTTTGGGTCGCTTAGCCCACTAGTGCACTAAATCTTGCCTAGTCACCGCAAAAACTTCATATTAGCAACACCAACCAATTCCAAAGGAAATAAAATTAAAAAATAAAAAGAAAAGTCCCGAACGTGGTTCGAACACGTGACCTGAAGATTATAACATTTACTGCAATCTTCCGCTCTACCACTGAGCTATCGAGACAAGGATTGAAGATGACGAAAAATCGCCTATTTAAATATATAAAGCTATTACGTGGCACCGCGCTTAAAGTCAATATTTGACGGAAACTACCCAATTAGAGGAATGAACCGTACCCACTATCCTCGTGACTCACATATATTTCAGCACCACGATCGAAGACCCGAAGCTTTTCTTTTTGCACATACTTTGTAAAGTGGGTATTTTGAGTCTTAAATAGTTTTGCGAGATATGGATTTATAGCAAAGCAGAAGTCTATCAAACATTACGACATGTATGCAAGAGTTGCCTCATTCCCCAGATCTCGTGCCCGTTGCATTATTCGGGTGTAACGCCAGGCTAAACTAAGCACAAAGTATTCTACAACTTCCCACTCTCACTAAATACAAACGAATTCCTTCCATCATCTCCTGTTCTCACCCACCCACTTCTCCCAATCTGCTCTTTGTGTGTACTCGAAAGTTGTTTCAGCGTATTCTCATCCCCATGATTCGCAATGAAACGATGCTTGTTTTTCTTCAATCGACCCACGACATGTCCTCGCGAAGGAGTTCCGTCACGATTGAATTCAACGGTATATGTCTACAAATTCAGCAAAATTCACGATCGAGAAGACGAAGTCTTACCTCGATTACGGCTTCACCTTCGGCCTTTTCATCAATTGTTGGAGCGGGATCTTCGGTCAAGAGTTCTGGCAAGGGATTGCGGTCGGGATATGGTGAGTTTCGAGGCTTGGACGACAAACAGACGACGTATTGATACGTCACCATCCCACCGTTCGCAAGCACCAGTCCTCTCTGCACTTCTCCTTTTCTCAATTCCCTTACCATTGCTGTGAGAGCCTGTCTTGTCAGCTTCGCATCGGTAGCAATTTCTATAACTCACGTGCATGGAATAATTGTTTCCTGCTCCGCCAAAAGATGTCAGTCCTCCAAGAAGTGTTATGGGTGTACTTTGTTTCGCTAACGGTAGTCCGAGATGTTCGCATGCGAGCTTTGGTACGATTGGAAAACATCTAGAATTGTCAGCGGCAGTCTGCAAGTGCATGAGTGGGCGTACGAGTAGAAGTCAAAGATATCAATCTGTTCCTTTCCAAGTCGGGATACTCTCAGCGCTTCATCCAATGATCTTGATATCGCCGGACTCGAGTAGAAGTTCGGCCTTTCCCAAACTACAGAATGTCAGTCAATGAGGGGGTGGAAACCTCGGGAGACACACAATTTGCAGCGTCACTTGTACCTGCGCCTCCTAAAGGATAGATCCAACGATCCTCTGGGATTCCAAGTTCTTTCGCATACTCGGTCGAAGTCAACAAACATGTTGCTGCAAGATTTACAGTATTGAATGCATTCATCAGTAACGGATCTGGTGGACATCAGCTCAGCCCTTAGACCATGCAGAAGCAACTCACATGGAAAGCAGATCATCCTATTCTTCTTCGACACCGCCCCGATGGCTTCCTCGGTAGCAGCAGGCTGGCCATAATTCCAAGCCAACTCTGTCTTCTCAGCCACTTTGGCAAAATCGGCGTAGAGTTGAGCAGATTCCTTATTGTTCTGCTCTATCGATTGCCTTCGATGTGCTCGAAATCCATTCTCATACAATGGATACACATGAATGGGTAACCCGATCGAATGCAATGTCCCCAACCCTATCAAGTTAGTGTTTGCTTCGAGAACGATTATAGAAACTCACCTTGGTTCCTCCTGGAAAGATCTGAAACCGACACAGCCGTCCCCCTCTCATCCGGGGCAGTCCAACCTGGAGGAGGCAACTTCCCAGCAGCAGCACACGCTCCCACTTCACCAAAATTAGCATCGTTCTCTCCTCCCCACATTCCGCAATCAATGCACTCACAAGAAGCCAAAGCTTCCCCGCCAGTCACAATCGCCACTTTACTTTCCCCAAATGATATCCTCCTCGCGGCCTCGTCGAATAATTTCGCCGGAGAGTCCCCTCCATGATGGCTCAGAACCTTGTATTTCGGTTTGATGCCCAGATTGTCAGAGATCAATCCGGGAAGATCGGGGTACAGCCATGTCCATGTATTGACGACTCCCACATGATCAATCTTAGACTGAAGCTCTATCGCTGCGGTTGATGACAGTTTGGTGTCGTCGAGGGCTTTTTGGGTCGCTTGAAGCATCAGTTTCATGGGCTCGATTGCATCTTCGATTTTTCGCGAGCGGTTCTTGATGTCTCCTACTCCGACGACGATGGGGACCGCTCTGGTGGGGGCCATTTTCAGCTTTTTGGCCTCCAACAAATCGTCCAAAAACTGATGTACAAATGTCACACGAGAAGCAAAGAAAACAGTGAGATGGATTATAGATTTTTCAGTATGCCTATCTGATCTACAAATGGGATTATCCCCATGGCCTGATCCCATGCAAAGAAGCGGCAGTGATCAAGCCTCGGCATATTGCGGGGTTCTTTGTCGATCCCATTTTTGCCTGCCGAGATGGAGAACATTGACTCTGTTTCTGGCCATTTGCCGAATTTAGGAATAAGACTTCTTGAGAAAGTATGCTCCTTGATCAAGACGTGGAAGGTTGCACACGACTGCTCGCTAAACCCAGTGGGTAGATGGCTAGAATCGAAAAAGCAAGTCTGAGACTTGCTACCAAAGATTACCAGAATTTGTCCAGGGTGGACTCGCTTCAGTTGTTCTGGAAGGAAAATGGAAGAAGCTCCCGCAGTGGGGACGTGGATATGTGGCGCCTTCCCGAACTATGCCCCCAAGTCCCGACAACATCCATTCTCAAATCGACCTCGTTTGTTTCTTCCTCCTCTCCTGAAACACGACCAGAATGTCACAACTCTCAGAAACTTCAGCATCGCACGTTATAAGAATTCAGTGCGCTTCAGACTGTCCCGAGACCCAAATATAACTCTGAAAAGAGTTCATTCCGACAGCTTCGGTCCCAAAATACTTCCACATTGGCAGACTGCAATACTTCAGACCACGTCAAAGACCATCAATCAAATCCTCAAAGAACAATTAGTAGCACTCAGCATATCACAAATCAAGTTAAGGACTAGCCAGCTTTTCACTTCAGCATGTTTAGAGTTCCGCCAAGAGCACCTGTGACGTGGAGGGTTTTGTCACCAACTTCATGCGTAAGACAACATCACTCAGCAACAATCAGCAAAGTCTAGCCACATTTCCCAATGAGACATCGACCAGCCACAATTCCGAGTAGATCATCTATAGCATAAGTATTTCTCCGACTCGACAAGTGGACAAATGGACAGGTACCGAAACTCTGATAGTGGAGATATTCCGAAGGATCACCCTCTCACCCTGTCTCAGCCTTCTCGGTTCTGATTTAAACTCTCAGCAAGCACCATGACGTGGCTTCTGCGCAGTCAAAGTTGGCTTTGAAACGTCTCTATTTGCATTACAGAGCGACGAGCAGACGCTGAAAGTAACATGTGGCCAAGGCGGTAGCCCAAGTGGGAACAATGGGATGTTTTTGTTCTCCCCACAGCCGGATTTATTGGCGGCGGCAGTCAGTAAGGTGGTCCCGAGTCTCCAAAAGTGTCCTCCGCAGTTGTTTGTGGACCTCAGTGATAGAGACTTGATAATGATCAGCCCTACTTTCATCTTCGAGGTCAGATAACTCCAATGCTGCTGGCTATCACTGATTGCTCACAGACAATACTTTCATTTTTACGTGGCCTCCTGGTGAGAGCTTCATACGATCTTTTATCGTAATCATGGAGAAAAATGCTGGAATGGAAGCGGTTGAAGAAAACTTAGGGCGAGTCCAGCTGCGCTCAGAGTCTGGCGAAATCATTCTGGTCCCAAAACCTTCAAGTGATCCAAATGATCCATTGAATTGGTCTGTAAAATCTCAAAGATCAAGTCGAACAACGTACTCAGAATATGCAGGTCTCAACCTTTTAAGGTCTACGTCGCCGTCGTGACGTGCTTCGGCATGCTCATGTGCACGTTCCTCGCTGCTGGTCCAACAGTGGCACTCGTTCAGATCGCAAAGGATTTCTCGAATGGGAGTCCAAACCTAGAGGCCGTCATTCCACAGGTGGCTTTCTTCTTCACAACCTCGGCGCTCACCCAAGGTACTGGTAATCTGTTGTGGCAACCTCTCATCAACAAGTATGGACGAAGACCGATCTACATTATCTCCTTCGCTGGGTATTTCGCAACGGCAATATGGTGTGGTATCACCTCAAACTTCACTTCAGAGCTTGTAGGAAGAATCTTTCTGGGTTTTTTCTCAGGAGCTGGAGAATGTCTGGGCCCAGCCACCATCTCAGACATCTTCTTCCTTCACGAGCGAGGGACTATGATGGCGTAGGTCTCCTGAGCTCATCCCCAGCAGTCGTTGACTTTATCTTCAGGATGTACAACTTCGCTACCGGATCTGGGGTATCAATCGGCATCATCATCAGTGGCTTCATCGTCGTGAACAACTCTTGGCGAGTCATCTATACCGTCGGTGCAATCATGATCGGAGTTCTACTCGTCTTCATCGTCTTCACCATACCAGAGACTGCCTACAACAGATCATACGACGACTCAGAACCGGGTGATATCTTCGATAACAAGAAGAATCCTTATAGACTATCCCTCTCCATTATCCTCAATGACGCCGAGAAGGCGAGGGTTCAGCAGTACTATGATGAGAATAATCGACTGGCTGACATGAACAACGTGGACGAGAACCCCGCCATTCGGCGATTGGAGGAACGTGTCCGGCGCTTGGAGGCTACTGTTCTTAGCAACCCGCAATACTCTGCGTTGAACCAACCTCTCAAAAAGTCCTTCTGGAGTAAGCTCTCGTTGTTCACTGGGGAGACGTACACGAAAGACTCGCTTTGGAAGATGTTTATCAGACCTTTCGGCCTGGTTCTTATGCCTCCTGTGATGTGGGCCACTCTGGTTATGTCCGCAACCATCGGCTTCAGTGTTGCATTGTCATCAACCTGTAAGTACCTGTATCATCACCTAAGATGAATGCCCGATATGCTGATGCTGT